TTTTTTTCAGCAATGTAATAAGTTACTTTTTTTTTTGAACACCTTTACGGAATGTTTTTTTTTTCAACCCAATGGAATAAAATTTTTTTTTTCATCATTCCGTAAAGAATTTTTTTTTTACATGGCGCATCTTATGTTTTTTTTTTTAATACTGTAGGCTGTAATTTTTTTTTTTAAATCAATCCGTAATATCGTTTTTTTTTAGCAGGAGATCGACTTTGTTTTTTTTTTATGGAAGCTTGGCAATGGTTTTTTTTTTGGGGGGATGCAAAACAAAATTTTTTTTTAAAAAATCTTGTACACAGCTTTTTTTTTGCGAGATCGTAATTATGCGTTTTTTTTTTTCAGAGATATCAAAATGGTTTTTTTTTTGAAAACACGCGTGAAATCTTTTTTTTTAGCGCTTTCCTCTATCGGGTTTTTTTTTGCCCTAAATTTCTCTTCCTTTTTTTTTTCTTTCCAGTCCTTCGGGACTTTTTTTTTAAAAAAAGTACCAGTGACCTTTTTTTTTTAGGAACTAAATACAGGCGTTTTTTTTTATCTAGAAAGTTTGGATTTTTTTTTTTTTTTTTATTGCATATTTGATTTTTTTTTTTTGTTTGTTTACTGACAGCTTTTTTTTTGATCAGGAGAGTCAAGACATTTTTTTTTTCAACCAGTGGAAACGAAATTTTTTTTTGGAGAGGTGTTCTGTACTTTTTTTTTTTAAGGAAGACGAAATTGTTTTTTTTTTTTCTGTTGAAAACAGTCCAGCTTTTTTTTTCTTGATGAAAGAAGACTTGTTTTTTTTTATYAAGTTTCTTCTGTGATTTTTTTTTTACCTGTGAAACRGTTTAGCTTTTTTTTTATTCATTTTAATGAGGAGATTTTTTTTTTTTTTGTTATCTGGTGAGTTTTTTTTTTGAGCGTGGCAGGTCGTATGTTTTTTTTTGTAAATAGCGGGCTTAAAATTTTTTTTTAAATGCGTTTTGTTGCAAGTTTTTTTTTGTTGGTTTTGATTGTCAAGTTTTTTTTTAGGGTACGTATGAATTGAATTTTTTTTTTGAACAATCGAATGCTTGTTTTTTTTTTCTTTGCGATATCACCGACTTTTTTTTTTAGGACAGAAGGACAGAAGGTTTTTTTTTAGGAAGTTTAAATCTGATTTTTTTTTTTTACATGTTTGTTAAACCGTTTTTTTTTTACCACAGAGCAGCTTAATGTTTTTTTTTAGGAGAAACAAAGTTAGTGTTTTTTTTTCTGCAAGCCAAGGAGGTGTTTTTTTTTTATTGGCTGAAGCAAACTCGTTTTTTTTTGTGAAAATTAAGGTAATGATTTTTTTTTAAGAAGCTGAGCGGACAAATTTTTTTTTAATAATTTAATTGACACCTTTTTTTTTTCGAGCATCTTTACATCTAATTTTTTTTTGAGTTAGCCGCTCAGCGAATTTTTTTTTGGGCATMTATAACCTCAACTTTTTTTTTGCCGTACTCGGTGTAAATGTTTTTTTTTCCAATTCTGGACTTCAAGTTTTTTTTTTCAGGCTCTTATGTTATCACTTTTTTTTTGGTACTAAAAGTCAATAATTTTTTTTTTATTATCCATCTCTTCCAGATTTTTTTTTACGTATTCATGACTAAGGGTTTTTTTTTATCATTGATGTAGTCTTAATTTTTTTTTAAGTGACTGGAAAAGACTGTTTTTTTTTTTGGGGTATATTCAATTACTTTTTTTTTCTTTACATTACTGCTTGCATTTTTTTTTGTACACTGCACTGGATGCTTTTTTTTTTTATGAATCTAGTTGTGTTCTTTTTTTTTCACCATCTTTTAACCTCAGTTTTTTTTTACCCAGTTATGTAATCAGATTTTTTTTTAGTTGAATCCCTATGGGTATTTTTTTTTTTTTTTTCATTCTCCCACATTTTTTTTTAATGTTAATCATCCGGCCTTTTTTTTTTGTTAAGCCTTTGACAAATTTTTTTTTTTTGAAATGTAATATTTGTAGTTTTTTTTTCGAAATCTTATTACTTTTGTTTTTTTTTGAGTCTTTTTATTAGAACTTTTTTTTTTTTAATAGTACACAAGATAATTTTTTTTTTCTGTTTTGCTTTCACGTCTTTTTTTTTCAACTTCACAAAGCTTTAATTTTTTTTTAAAAATATAGCTCTGTTAATTTTTTTTTAATAAACATTCTATTCTAATTTTTTTTTAAAGAGCAGAATATTTTGATCAGTAACTTTCTAGAAATTTGCCTTTATTTTTTTTTCAACAAACGCTTGCCTTATTTTTTTTTTTGAATTTTCTCATTAGAAATTTTTTTTTTGCGAGAAAAAGCTGACAGTTTTTTTTTGCGGCAGAGTTGTTCAAACTTTTTTTTTGTTAGTCGGTAAACACTAATTTTTTTTTAACAGGGAGAGCACATTTCTTTTTTTTTATTAGTATCATGTTTGGCATTTTTTTTTAACAAAGGTAGACTTTTGGTTTTTTTTTTATAAAATTGATTGTTGTATTTTTTTTTGCAACAAATGTCTTCTTTTTTTTTTTTTTTTTGTTTTACTTTGCGAGTTTTTTTTTGGGTAAATGCAAAGAAGTGTTTTTTTTTACTGATATTTTAATGGAGATTTTTTTTTCTTTTAATTAAGTGTCACATTTTTTTTTTATTAAGAACAAAGGTTGATTTTTTTTTTAATTTTAAATTGATTATTTTTTTTTTTGTTGCAACAAATGTCTTCTTTTTTTTTTAATTTTGTTTTACTGTGCTTTTTTTTTTTGGGGTAAATGTGAAGAAGTTTTTTTTTTTAAAACTCATTTTTTTAATTTTTTTTTCCCTCATCTATCATTCATGTTTTTTTTTGTAGTTAATTTAAATTGACTTTTTTTTTAAGTTATTTGTATACTGACTTTTTTTTTATATCAATGTTTTATCAGATTTTTTTTTGTTTTCCACTTCAATTACTTTTTTTTTTGTTAATCATGCCCCAGAAATTTTTTTTTCATTAATTGGGAGAACTAATTTTTTTTTGAGCTCATCCAAGGGCATTTTTTTTTTTGGRAAAGGTTGACAAGTTTTTTTTTTTTTCACATCTTAGTGAGATTGTTTTTTTTTAATCCTTATGTAGTGTACATTTTTTTTTTTCTTGGAAAGTGATAATTTTTTTTTTTTGTTTATTTGATCCTCTAATTTTTTTTTACCAGTTTGCCTTAATCCATTTTTTTTTGCAGAGCTGAAATGATAAGTTTTTTTTTCAATATAGGGATGACAACATTTTTTTTTTCTGGCAGAGCATGTTTTGTTTTTTTTTCAGTTCTGTTCATGCAAGTTTTTTTTTTTGCCTGTGATCTTAGCGTGTTTTTTTTTACTGGGGTGCTGGAATGATTTTTTTTTTTGTTTGCGCGTTGAGTTTTTTTTTTTTTCAGATTCAATAGAAATTTTTTTTTTTTTGTCAAGGAATACCTGAAACTTTTTTTTTAAAATCTAGACACCTAAAATTTTTTTTTCATGCTAATGGTGGTTATCTTTTTTTTTTGTACCCAGAGAGTAGTTGTTTTTTTTTGGTTATAGCTAATGCTTTTTTTTTTTTTAACATTWTGGCAATCAAGTTTTTTTTTTTTTAGRCTTTTATTRGARTTTTTTTTTTGCAATSAACATTTGACATGTTTTTTTTTCAGAATCATGAAGCACTGATTTTTTTTTGCCTTATTGAGATTAGCCCTTTTTTTTTATTCTTCAACAAACTCTGTTTTTTTTTTAGATAATTGAAGTACTTATTTTTTTTTTAAATAGTTTAAATTCTGGCTTTTTTTTTTATATCAAAATAAAGAATGTTTT